AAAATGAGTGGTGAAAATGAAACTTGTGTAGGAGTAAAACATTGGACAGATGATCTCAGGGCTTGGGCACTGACAATTGTACATTTGTAAGAATACAAGGTAGTCTTAAAGGGTTTGTTTTTGATTTTGCCACTTTTAATTTGAAGATGTATATAAAATAGATAAATTTAATCACTTATAATGGTTCATTAAGTTAAACTCTTTAACTATCACAGACCTTTCACGTAACTATGCAGAGGTCAGCAGGGATTGCACTCTGCATCAAAGCTCATAAGAAAGCAAATTACCTTGACTGCATTGCATCAAAAGCCAGAAATGCAGAGGTGAGAATCAGTGATTTTCTTGTATAAATAGCCTTTTACCTTCCAACTTATTTCTTAATATTTTCTTACAATTATCACTTTTTACTTTACTTCAGTTATAAAAACATACTTATTTTACTCCCATAATAAGAGAGACTGTGTTTGTCTTTATACCCAGCTCAAGTTTTGTACACTGGTCTTATTTATGACGACTACCGTTTTACAAAAAAACAAAATAAAAACCCGCACTACAGTAGCTACCCTACAATTATACGATTACACAGACTGTATATATTGATAGAACAGGAAACAATAACCATTTTTAGTTGACAGTAATTTACATTACATAGTACAGAACAGTAGATTTTCAGAAAGGTATTTTATTGGCCAACAGCCCTTTAAAGCAAAATAAAGCTTTATAAAAGTTAATCCACAACAAAAGTAGATAGACAGAGCTATGATCAGACAGAACAGAACAATGAGCACATACCATGCATCACAGGAAGACAACGGGAAGCCTGAAACAGGAAAAAATTAGCAGTCTCCACTCCACAGAGTACAAAAAGCTACTGCTGTATCCGTCATGCTGTATTGTAACATTCTATATTATATATACATAACTCTTAAAGAGACTTTTTTTTTTAGTACAAATAGGTCATCACTGCAACAAAGGCAGGCAAATGAAGAAACAGTGGCTCTACTACATGCATTTTGTAAAATACCTGGACTTTGAGTTTACGAAAGGATGACAACATGATGGAGGAATGTAGAGTCTAAAAGGGAGGTGGAAATCAAGATAACATACCACTATCTACAAATGTAGTAACATAAGTCAAATAAATCCAGTTCTTTTCAAAATATACATTCAAAATCACACCTTTCTACTTCCACTTCCTTTCTTCACCACATGTAATTTGGAATGATTGTTATGTAAGCTGCTGCACGCACAACACTCTCCCCATGCAACAATGTTAAGAATATCTATCAACTGTAATTAAAACAATTGAGAATTGACTTAGGATGCACACAATTTCCCATATCCAAAATTAAAGGAAAATAATGCAAAAAAGAAAGTAATCTCAGTTGGTAATCTACACTTCCACACACAAATTCATCAGACTGGGTGATTTTAAATACAGTCTCAGAAAACAACATGCTTAAAGAGCAAGCTTTATATATAAATCTCCTTCAGAATACTTAAATTCACATCCCATGTAAAATATATGCGAGTAAACAAAATACGCGACGGAAACTATTTTGGGGGGAGGAATGATTGTTCAAGGAACAAGTGAATTATTAAGTATGGCTGATACACTGAATTTTAATCTGTTCAGTTCCCTGCATCCTCTGCTTTGCATTTTCCATTGGTATACTGCAATCCATGTTCCTATATATGGACAACTGCAGTTATGTGCCTCTGTGTGTTCTGAAGCAAGTGCATATCTAGCACAGCATTATCATCGTTTAGGGCAAATCCATTACAGTAGTAAGAAGTCAGATTGTCACTTTGTTTTGATCTATGGTCAGCAACAGCCCATGGTGCAGTACTGCACTTGACAGCCTTCCTCAAAAGACATCTGCAATATGCTCCACTCCATTATTCTTGTGACCGGTCCAGGAACACGTGAGGGGGAGGGAGACAAAAACTACTGTATCAGGGGAAAAAAAAGTCTCATCTTAAAATTACTTGCCTTAGGTTGGTGAGCGAGCAAGCAAGCAATTCACATCCCAAGAATAAGACATATTTTATCCAAAAATATGATAAATGAATAGTATACAAAGGTCTGACAGGTGAAATTAAGGCAATAAAGAATTTTAAAATTATTTTCATGAAGCGATGAAAGGGATAGTTTTAAAATTGACAACTTGCAAATATGAGCAACACCCAGAGGTGCAACCGTCTGAAAAGACTGAGACTGTTCTTACCTTGCTTGCGCACCGGGACAGATGGTAAACAAGGTTTAATGTGGGATGGGGTTAATACCAAATTTAAAGGTAAAATAAAATGTGTTTGTTCATTTCAGCTACTATGAAGATCATAGAGGCACACCTATCTCTTTTTTTATTGTTGAAACTTGGTTTGACCTTTCCAAAGGTAAGATTTCTCTTACAACAGAAATGGAATTAAATTACCCCATTCTGAGCACTACTGAACCTCTTATTAGTTCAATGATTTTACACAGTCCAGTGGCTCCACTTACAAAGCCTTCACAATGCTGAGGTCCTCCTAGTTTTTAATCATTTCTTTCATTCTTTTCCAAACACATTTTATAAATACCCTGTGAGCTCAATACAAATTTCACAGCAAGCCTGACTTGTTAATCCCATAAAAATGCAGGAGACTGTCCAGGGAGGTTTTTTTCCTGCATACCATTTGTCACATCAACACAACTGTCTTCCCGAGTCTACTTAAAACCAAGTGACAAGTTGCTCACTAACCATGTATATTTTAAGATACAATTTTTCAGTGAATGATTTAATTAAAGAATCCTGACTGGAGAGTAAAGTTACTGTAACATTTCTGCTGCATACACATGGACATTTGAAATACCAAATAAAGATGATTTTAAATATTAACACGATTACATTAGTGCCAACATGTATTTCTTTTACTATGCATAAAACAGAACAAACATGGCTGACATACTCTTGATTTATCAGAAATATGTTATGTTCCGTAACTGCAGGAACAAGGTGAGAAAAGCAAAATCCTGATTTATCTGATTGTAAAGAGAGACATGATCTTCCTCCCTCCAGGCCCCATTATGTCAGGCATCTCAAGTCTTGCAAAGTCACACATTTGGAAGGGGACAATCATTTTAGGAGATTAATTGTAAGGCTTTTAAAAAGCCTCTTCCAGTTAGGATGAAGGATTTTCCTGTGTGCACTTCAATCAAGCAATTAAAACTTGCCTCATATAGTAAAGACCAAGATTATTTAAAAATACATATTTATCTTGGTCAATAAATTCTCCAGCCACCACCTAGAAATGCAGAATCTCTCATTGACTTTTCTGTGTCTCCTGACCTTGGACAGTGGATGGGTTTGTGAATGCTTAGGGAAGCCATTGCTCTGAAATGAACCCATTGACAGGGTCATTCGAGACATTCACAGCCTGTGTTCAATTTTTCTCTCCAGATTTTTCTTCAAAAAAGGGGGGGGGCAGTAATTAGGCTGAGACGATTGCTTCGGGGGGAAGCATAGCTCCCTTACTCTTTTTTTGGGAGTGAGGGGAGATTTGCTGGCACTGCTATTTATCACCGTGGTTATTCCCTCCTTAGGGCAGTGAATGAAATTCCTGCTACTGCGGCTGAGAGCAACACAGGGCGGATCCGCCTCGCTCTCTTTCCCACACAAGAATCCTCTGGTCTTCCAGCCAAACAACCTCCCTCGCCCATCAGGGAAGAGCAACAGAAACGCAAACCGCTCCCTGCATTGCTACTCCACCCTGAGCTCGCCTATACTCAAGCGAGCCCAGAAAGACGGCAGCGGGAGAGAATAAAGAGCGTCTCTCTGCAGAGACTAGGTTCACTGGGGTGTCAAGCAGCGAGCCTGGGAGAAGAGGGGAGAGACTATCAAAGCGCAAAATCCCTCACGGGGAAGCCGAGTATCACTACGGATCTCCCGCGCCTGCCGGGGGCGAGCCCCGGGGAAGCGAGAAGGCAGGCAGGGCGGTGTCGCGAGGCACCATCGCTTTCCCAGATGAGCTCCCGCATCCACAGAAGGAACCAGCACCGCTACCCACCCAACCTTCGGCCGCCCTAAAGCGAGCCTCAAGGAAGCCGGGGTAACGGGGCTGCGCCCGCAACGCCCGTAAAACCCACCGGGAGGGGCGCGCTACATTTCCGCAGGCTAAAGGACCCGGGGAACCGTGGGAGCGCGAGGCACCATCGCTTTCCCAGATGAGCTCCCGCATCCACAGAAGGAACCAGCACCGCTACCCACCCAACCTTCGGCCGCCCTAAAGCGAGCCTCAAGGAAGCCGGGGTAACGGGGCTGCGCCCGCAACGCCCGTAAAACCCACCGGGAGGGGCGCGCTACATTTCCGCAGGCTAAAGGACCCGGGGAACCGTGGGAGAACCCAGCCGAGCTCGCCTTCGAGCAGCCCGCCCCGCCGCTCGGGCCTCCCACCCG